GAGAGGTTTTCTCATCCTCCCTTCTCTCATGACACGAGTCCTATCACGAAGTAAAAAGAGAAGTTCATTGTGCGTCTTGAGTAACGCGCAGTAACGGGATGTCGGAAATGATAACGCTATAGTTACAGTCAAAGTAATTAGTTAGATTACTCGTTACTGAAAAAAGTAACGCCGTTATTCCCATCACTGCTCTCTAGGAATGAGAAAATTAAGCAACAGTGCTGGCCTGGTCTTACCACACATTTCATTTCTTACTAAGGTCTGGATTTGCCCATTGATTGCTGTTAACAACCGTTTCAATCTTTTTGCAGATTGAAACGGTTGGATCATGAGTTTATTTCTCAGCAAGAAGGTCCATGGGTTCGAATCCCGGTCGGACCAGGGCCTTTCTGAGTGGAGTTTGTATGTTCTCCCCGTGTCTGCGTAGGTTTCCTCCGGGTACTCCGGTTTCCCCTACCACTAAAAATATGTACAATAGGTCCTGTTCGGCGTCCCCCCTCCCATGTCTGTGTGGAGTGAGAGAACAAGTGCCCAAAAATAACAATTGTAAACCGCATTGTGACTCTGGTCTGTGAAAGGCGGTATATAAATAAAGATTACTTACTTACTTACTTTATCGTAATGAGTTTCTAGCATTTAGCATTCAGCCTAGCTTTACCTGTTAGCCTAGCTTTAGCCATCTCCTTTGCCACTAACGGAGCCCGTGGGGAATAGAACCACAACATCTCTGCAGTAATTTTATTCTATTGAGTGAAATGTATTTTATCTACTGTAATGTAAAAGCCCCCTGTTATGTTATTGTTATGTCCATATTAAATAAACAGATACAAATGAATAAAAAAGTTACATGTATTTTACGACATAGGAACTTCTTTGTGGTTTCAAAGCTCGGTCCCTCAGCTTTAACACACTTTCACATTTCTCATTCCTCTCGTCGCACAGAGGCACACACAGGAGTTGACCTACTGCCTGAAATGACTCGGGCCAAAACAAACAAACAGGAGGAAACTCGCGGAGCCCGTTTTCTCTGAGGTTCATTTGTTCACCTCCTCATGAAGCCGCGCTGTGATTGGCCGGCCGGAGGTGTTGGTTAATTGGCGGCACAAGCAGCATTTTGTTTGGGGTTTGAAAGGGAGTGTGTGCTCTTGGCGTTCGCCGTCCCAGAGGATTGGCACCGCCTCAGAACGCCCCTCCCTGCTCCGTGTTAACCCCTCTGTGCCACAAGAGAGATTCATGTCACGTAGATGTTGGTGGAAGTACAAGACTGATTTATAAAAGTTTTACGACTGTACTTAGTGAGTTCCATTTTTGAAAAAAGTCAGCTAATTCCCATAATATGTATGGGTTTATGACTGTCAAGCAGATTATCCAATCAGAGAGAAGAATGAGCCTCTTCTTTTGGTTGCCAGGCTCCAGGTGAAATTTAGCTGGTCTTTGCTTGATCTTCTAATAATAACAAATACATGCATGTGATAGAACCCAACTGTTGTGGCTGTTTGATGTTTTTTTTTTTTACATAGTTCAGTGTGTTTTGTGGTTTGAAAGTTAGGTACCTCAGCTTTATTCAACATTTACCTGATAACAGTTGTTTACTCCGGTATTTTCCCCATTGGCTTGTTACAGGGAACCTCACAGGAGCTGTCGTCATGATGATAGACACACACACAAGTACACACACACACACACACACACACCCTCTGAGACTCCTACATCCACATCTATGCTTCTGCCCTAAATCACAACATAAGTCATCTCAGAGGACTAAACAAAACTATTGAAATCACCAACACAGATCTGAGAATCAACAGTTAAAACACATAAAGAATATAGAACACATGTTGAAAAATGTCCATACACGTTGTAGAATGTACATGTGTCCTGGATCATCACCTCATCCTTCTAGTTGGACACTAACTGCCCAAAAGACCCTCCTGCATCTGCAAGGAAAAACTCATAAGAATGAATCCCATAGACAGTTTGAGTTGTGATCGACATTTGCGAATGGAAATTAGGATGTGTTTAATTAGAACATAAATCCATTCATTAAGGACCGGAAGTGTACTGTATATTTATGAAATGTTGTTATCTAAGTGTTGTCTTTGATGACGCCGGCTTGGCTAGTTTTGTACACCAATGAAAGACAGCCTCAAATCTCTATGGGTTAAATGCTGACATATTTTAAAGTAGTGAAATACTAAAATATTGTGTACGTGGCAAGAGCTGTGGTGTGTGCCGTCTTCTCTGTCTGGTGCACACTGGGGGTAGTTTTGCACAGTTTTTCCAATGTGGTTTTACTGCAAATGGCAAATAAATTCTTGAATCTTGAATGAGACCACCTTTATCTTGTTAGCAAACATGTTATCTGTTGCTATACTTGTAAGAAACAGCCCTGGCAGTCTCTTTTTGACGTTTTGGGTGGAGAAATGGTTGGCTGAGTGAGGGTGGTCCTCTTTTTTTCACTTTTCTATCTGAAAAGGTTGATCTAAAAATGTGACAGATGCCAAAAAATACGTGCACATAAATCTGAAAATCGTATTGAGAGATAGAAACTATTTTCTTTGATTTTGAAAGTGTAGTACCCCAGATTTAAATATAGGTTAAAGGAGAATATGTATTTTTAGAGAGATTCATGAGAAATGTGCATATTAAAGGTGATGTCAACAACAAAAAAGTTTTTATTTTTAAAAGATTGTATATATTGTAGTGAGTATTTTTCAACAACAATATATTTGGCGTATCTAAGACCAGTAAGATATTCTTTATATTGTCATGAAGTAGAGACACCATTGTTTCCCCCATGCCTTTTTTGACAACAATAATCCCACATTAAGTACAGATTATTTTAACAGAATCTGTGATACATGGTCGATTCGGCAGAATTGCACCAGCATTTTGCAATAACGACAAAATCCACTGTTTATGACAACGTTTGAACTGTCATAAAGGAACATTTAATAATTTATTTTATAACAATGTTAAGATCCGTATTGAAATTTTGAGCATACAGTACTTGCTAGTTGTACATTATTTTATAAATCTTTAGGACAAATGATAAGATATTATAATTCATACTGAAGAATGGAAGAAAGAGTGTGAAGTGAGAAAAGGAAGCTGAATGATCTCTGTGTGTGTGTGTGTGTTTTGTGTGCATGAATGTGTGTTAATGTTTGTGTGATTTGTGCGCGTGTGTTTTGTGCTGCGAATGAGAGGGGTTGTAGCCCAATTAACATTTCCTTTCTCCAACCCCTTTTGAAACTGTATTCTCCCCATTGCACATCTGTATCTTGATTTTTTTAAATATATACTACTAACACTGAGCCTCGGCTGCCCTCGATTATCACTAAACCGCCGCCTGAAGCACGTTACACAGGTCTCATTCAACAGGTTTCCAAATCACCCGATCACTCCTGCACCGTGATTCATATACGTTCCTCCCACAAACATTTGCCAATCAAGTCCGGCAGCTTCTCTCTCTGCAAAAAGTGAAGAAAAATAAGTCATAAATTGCTCAAACTTGGAAAAAAAAGTATCTTAATTTGAGCACATTCTGACTACCTTTAAAACAAGATTTGCCATTTGGACAAAGCTTAATGATCTTGTCTGAAAAAGATATAAGAAATGTCTTCCCTGGAATGAGAAAATAAAGCAACAAGTCTTGAAATAAGACAAAATGGCTTTGTCTCGTTGGTAAATCTTGTTTTAACACAGTCAGAATGTGCTCAAAATCAGATAAAAACAACTCAGTTCAAGCAATTCCTACCTCATATTTTATAATTTTTTGCAGTGCTCTCTCTCATTCATCACTTGTCTTGCCCTAGTTTTAAAAAAAAGAGATGCTTGTTTGCGTTGGTCTAAGTTTCCCTTCTGTAAAAAAAGGGGTGTGTCTGCCTTGAGTAATCCTACACCGTTAGCATGTTGAGGTTACTGTAACTGGCTCAACAGCCTCGACCAGTGTCTGCAAACTGCCAACTCACACCCACATGGTTCATTTCAGAGACGATTGTGTCATGCCTCAAACACACACACACCGGGAATACACAGAAAGGGAAGCAGCCAGAGCGCAAACACGAACTACTGTGATGATTTAAGACTGAGGAAGAGAAAGCACCCCGGAGTGACAGAAAAGAAGGGAAGGACGACAAGGGAGGGTTGAAAGCTATGCAGAAAAAAGGAACCACCCAAAAGTTCCCAAACCACCCAATCAAGCCCTGAGCTCTGCAACTGGATCCTCCCTGAGTACCACTTGAAGAGCTCCAAGGCACAGCTGCTTCTCAGAGCCACCGCAGTGGGACAAAAGACAGGTGGAAGACAGCGATACAAGAAATACCCACAACTTTTTCAACAGGATTTTTCATGAATGAGCCGGGATATTGCTGTTTTTAAAGAGCACGGACATGGAAGAACAGCCTCTGTTGCCTATGCGAAACCCAGCCATGGAGATTCCTAAGTGGATCCCAGGACTATGAATGGGAAATTTCTGTCAACATTAAGAGATGCGCTGAGAAACTGGAAGGACAGCTTCATAATTGTGGGGTGACTTCGTTTTTTAACCTGTTTCAAGCTTATTTTAAGAACTGCAAAAGACGATTTGACGGAAGGAGTTTTCTATCTTGTTTTGAGCACGTTTGGACTGTCTGAGAACTCAATTTGCCACCAGGACATGCATGAGATCTCTTGTTTTACTTAATTTAAGACTGAGATTAGCAGTTTTTGCATTTCAATAGAATAAGCCATGTTGGAATAAAGGTTTTTTGACTTTCATTGTTGGATTTTTTGTCTGTTTTTCTGTCAAACAGCCCAAGACTCACTTGAATTAAACGGAAGATTAGGGTGCTGTGTTTGACGTTAGACTATATCCGTTTGTCCTGTTGGCAAATTCTTTTTTAAGGTATTCAAACTAGAGTTGGATCTATATGGTTTTTGCCCAAATTTCAAGTCTTTTTTGCACATGATGTAGAAGTATAAGAGGCTTCTATTGGACCCTCTTTCTCGCTGGAGGCATGTCTTTGGAAGATGGACGCAGCAGTGGGAGCTTTGAGGCCGAGAGCTCCATCTCAGACCAGAGCCCAGACCAGAACCGGAAACGCAGCCCGGTACCGGACCAGAAGCAGAGCCCGAGACCGTGTCATGATGATCAGAAGCGGAGCCCGAGACCAAGTCTGGACCAGAACTGTGCTAAGAAAGAGGATGAGATCGTCTTGCATCGCATCGCCTCCATGTCGTCTCTGGACTCGTTTGACCCCAGCGACTTCACCGGGAGGTTTACGAAGTTCCAGCGACAAAAACGGAGGTCCAGAATCATTGGAGGTAGGACAGTGACACAGATAGTTCATGATCCATCCCTGTACTATTTTAGAGTTGTCAAAAGTATAAGAAAATTACATAACATTTGATTTCAATTAAATGTCCTTCTATTTAAATAAATAAAGATTACTTTGTTTTAACACAGCAAATGCAATAAAAGAATTGGGCCATATAGAGCCATTGGTCCATAAAGAGTGGCATGTCCAATATCTATAAGTGTTAATAAATATCCTTACATTTTTTGGATCATCTGTGTCCTTAGACCGTTCTGCATCTGAAAGAACCGACTCAAAATTATACAAATGTATCACAAAACTTATTCCACACTCTCAAAGCATCACTTGTTTTCACATGTACTGTACTATTTGGCCTCTGTCACATCTTTCTTAAAGGTGCTGTAAGCGATTTTGTTAGCTTAGCCATAGCACCATACTTAGCTTAGATTTGTTCACAAGACTCTTTCTGTTGGACTATTGACATGGAAACCAAACCATGGTTAGTAGTACAAATGCTCTTTGAATTGTACATTTGATTAATTGTACAATAGGCAAGGCAAGTTTATTTATATAGCACAATTCATACACAAGGCAATTCAAAGTGCTGAACAAAATAAGAAAGCATTAAAATCATAAATAATCACAGAACATTAAAAAGAAAGATAAAGATATAAAATCCCTCAGTTGTATGCACAGCTAAACAGAACTGTCTTTAACCTGGTTTTAAACATTGTCAGAGAGGAGGCCTGTCTCACATTAGTATTTGAATGTGTGCCTTTATGTCCTAAATGCCTCCTGTTGACAAGTATTGAAAGATAGCTTGGTCTTGCTATGACACTAAAGGCAGTGCAAACAAATACAATAAATACACATTACACATCGTCTGGCCACCACCGCAAACAACTTTCTACATTTTTGAATTAATAAATCCATCCGAAACTCTCCATATGACCCAGGTAACACGTTTATATATTGGTCCTCAAACAGATTTTAATGGAGCTAAAGGTACCAGCCTTGGCAAAAAAATGGCATCACCCAAACACTATAAGTTGAAATAAATATGTATTATTTTAACAAAAAAATCATGAACTCAATTAGATTATTTGTTATTCAATTGACAGAGTAATACTGTGTTCCCCAACTCTATTCTGTCTCTGTCTAATTCTATAGTATACGTTCCGAATGCATTTTTGCTGTTAAGGCAAACTTCAAAGACTTCATATGCTGCTGTACCTGAGACAATATCAAACGGACAAGGATTATTATGACTTGTAATGTTTGAATAACTTTGGGAAGACGCTCAGGGCTGTGCTAATTACAAGATAAACAAAGAACATTAGCTTAGTCAAAGTAAACATACTGTTGGTTAATAGGGATCATCACTTTGAGAGTTTTTGGCGCAGCGGTTTGAGCTTGTGTTTCACAGCAAGAAGGTCCTGGGTTTGATTCCACCTTTAGGCCTTTCTGTGTGGAGTTTCCATGCTCTCCCATTATCTGTAGGTTTCCTCCAGGTGCTCTGGTTTCGCCTACCACTAAAACATGTGTGTTTATTGGGGGCTTTAATGCCTTGATGTCAACGTGTGTAGAGACTAGATAGAATGGAAAAATATCGAAGTCTAAGGGTTTTGGGGGACCTTGGTCTTCAAAATGCGCTATATATATTTTTTTTTTCATATAACACAAAACAGACAACAAAAATACAGACAGAAAACACAAAATATTTTACTTCTGTTTTTAATTTCTCCAGCATAAATTGCCAGTATAAGGCCTGTTTTTCTTATGATTGCAAAGATTTTTTATTTCTAATACTTTACTAAAAGACCACAACAAAGTAACAGACAACTGTGAAGTGAAATATTATTTTTTTTTTTTACATGTTTTTCTTTATTAGAAAAATTGAAAAAAAGGAAAGTGGTGTTTGCGTACTTACTTATACAGCATAAGTTGACACTACAGTATGTGGAATCCCTGGCTCTTGCAGCTTTTCTTCTAAGATTCTCCTGTGTTTTGCTCCATCCACCTTTTCAGCAACTCTGACACTCTCCCCTGCCCCTGCAGAAGAAAAGCAGCCCCACAGCATGATGCTACCACCCCATATTTAACACCTGGGATAGTGCGGTGATGAGCAGTATTAGTTTAGTGGCTCAAAGCAAACACAATATTAGTTTAGGAAGGTCCATCATGTCGTCTTGTCTAGATTTAGTTTGTTGGCCCTTCTATACTAGACATTTTTTTTGTAGAAACATCTTAGGGTGTTAACATGGCTATTTTACAATTGTCTGGTATAGAAGAATCAAAAAACACAATATAATTTTTTAAAATCTTTTTTTGTGACTGCAATGACATGACAAATGTATCAATTCTTTTGTAAGACACTGTATTTCTATAAACACAACTGCCCCCAGTATGAAGCTGCCCTGAACCTCCTGGGACTGACGCGGTCTTGGGTTTCCTGGTACTTGTTTGGGTCGAGGCCCGTTCGCAGTCGAAGGCTCTGGTTCAATGACACATTGTTGTCGTCTTTTCAGGTGCTGTGAAAAGTGAGACTCTTTTTGACTTTTGAAACACTCCTCTAATCCTAACGGAGAAAGAGGAGGTTTTGGTGGATCACTGGTCGTAAGCTCCTGAACCACTTGATCTCACTGATATTCGTGATTCTCCTCCGCACACTTTTCTCTGGGGGAGGGGCGGCTACATGTTTATGTCTCATTTACATCTCAAAGGTTTTCACCCACACTTTGAAAACAAATAAGTTCAGGTTAGTTTTGCTAAATACGCCCCACTGAACTTTTGACCCAGAGACATTGTTTTAGCCTCAAGCTGTTTAGTTTCTCTTAAGGGGCGTTCACACCGGACTTAACTTCGGCGTCAAAAGCGTCAGGTTTCCATTGAAAGTGAATGGTGAAGCGCGTCAGGTGAAGCCGAGAGCCCCGGCGTCACTTGACGCGCGTCAAAAGCTTCAAGAGTCGCGCGTACTACGCGCTCACTTGAAGCTTTTGACGCGCGAAACGCTCGCGTATCACAACAATCCCTTTGACGCCGAAGCTGAGCAAAGCTGAGCTTTTGAAGCTTTGACGCGGGCTTCAACCAATCAGGAGACGAGGAGCAGCAGCAGCAGAGGGTCTGTCTCTGTCATGAAGAGAAGTCATGTATCTGCTGCTGCTGTTTTATTGTCATTATTGTTATTAGTAATATTATTTGTATGAGTAGTAAAATTCTGAGTAACAAAAATCATTGTACACATGCTGTGTAGTAAACATAGTTTATTTAAAATAAGAACAGGCTGACGATGAGTCTGGCTCAGAGCAAGGCAGCTCCAGGCGGGCGAGAGCCGGGGAGAGGCAGGGAGAGGCGAGCGAGAGCCGGGGAGAGGCAGGGAGAGGCAGGGAGAGGCAGGGAGAGGCGAGCGAGAGCCGGGGAGAGGCGAGCGAGAGCCGGGGAGAGGCAGGGAGAGGCAGGGAGAGGCGAGCTCCGGGGTTTGAGAACTCAGACTGGGCGAGTGACATGCGGAAGTACCGCTGAAAGCGAAACTCCTCCGTACGCAGCTCCTGGAGTAAATGACGGAACTCTGCAAACACTGCAGCCTCTCAAGTCTGTGGTGAACCCAGAACATGTTTTGTTGAAGCCCTACAACAACGTTATTTTGCTTTATATAACAAATAAAGGCTCGCTGCTCATTGAAAAATCCACCGCTGTCCTGACTACAGACAACAGAGAAGCTCCTCCCACCGGCGTCAGGCGCGTCACTCGCGTCAAAAGCTTCAAGCACCAAAATGACAAAACTATCCCGGCGTCAGTTGAAGCGCGTCAAAAGCTTTTTGAAGCTTTTGGTCTGAACGCGCCTTTAGGCTTTCATTTAAGACGTTTATTTACAGAAGACATATTATGCATTAATTATTATTGGCCATTAAACATAGACTGTTTACTGTTTTCATGTTTTAGAAAAGGAATTGATGAAACATGTATAAAGGCTAAACAATGCTTTCTGCCTGCAGCACCTTTTGCTGCCACCAGAGGGAGGTGTTGAGTTTTAGTTTTTGCAAATTCAACACTTACCAGCTGCAGACACAGACGTGCGATTGCAAAGAACATAATTTATCTTAAACAATTTGAAAAAGGGGTTGGACAAAACAATCCTTATTTGGCTCCAACCCCTCACTCAACACAAAACACACACACACACACACACCCACATACAGACTCACAAACACTCTCTGACCCTACACCTCCTCTCTCCCATCACTCAGATTCAGATTCAGTTTATTTGCCATTTGCAGTAAAAAAAAAACCGCATTGGAATACATTAGCAAAAGTCTCCAGTGTGCACAGACAAATACAGACATAAAACAACATTAAAAGACAAATAAAAAAGTAAACAAATGTTCACTCACTCTACTTCACTGTTTCCTTTTTAAATAGTGTTTTCAATTTTAATCAGGTTTGAACATTGAATATTTAGGCACATACACAATATCAACCCAGTCTCACGGCAAAAGCTTGAAGCGTTTTGTGTTTTGTGTCTTTAAAACTTCCCGCTCTTCTGTCCATCTCTCTCTGAAGGCTCAGAACATCTCTGAACCTGCTCTTTTACTACTCTTTTAGCTCTCAGCCTCTCTGTCTAGTTTACAGTGGGTTTAGTGGACTTAGAATACAAAGACACATGGAAGCCTCTAGACAGGACAGTGGGCGTACAGTTATTGTGCGGTAAAAGGGGAATCCTGAAGTGACAGTAACAAACATCTGCTCAAACATGGTCCACAATAGGTTTACATCTCCCACAAAGCTATAAACGAGAGAAACATACACGCAAAATAGACTTTTTACAATGTAACAGTTTCTTTCTCTGGTCGTTTTTACACTCAGAGGTGAACCTGGAGAGATGCATGTATGTTTGAGTATGCTATTCTACCTTGAAATCAGGATCAAAATCTTTTTTTACTGTCCAATGTAAGTAACAGGAAGTGACAAACTAGGAATTTGCTTTGGCTCATGGTGCAGACACTTTAT